TATCTTCCGGTTAAGGATTTTATGCCTTTAGTAAATCTGTGTGCAATATTTTAGAATTATGAGCAATTTTAAAGTTGTTTAATTGCCGCTAAGCCTTTTTTAATGGCGGCCATTGATGTTTACATTTGAAACAGGAGACTAGTAGATTTGTTGCCAATCTAGAGAAACTTAGCTTCGCAACAACAAAGATAACGCATTCATTTATTATTGCCAATTAAATCATGCTTAATTCTTTCTGGAATTTTTTCGAGGAAATAAGCGTTTGAGATTTACTTCGTAATTTTTAATATAGATATTTTGAGTTTTTATGGATTTTTGCCTTCTTGCGAAGTGAGAACTGAATTAATTAAATGAGAAATACTCAATCGTCTGTGAAAAACTGTTTCTTTTTTTGTTTTGTTTGATTAATTTTTTTTATACATAGTTCTAGCTTTATTATAGTGTTTGAATAGAAACATGTGGCAACGATTAGATAATTCTTTAAATGATATACATTTTGTGCATTCTGAGTTATAATATGAACGAAATATAATACTGTTAAGTAAACCTAGCCCTAGAGTGTCGCTATGGTAAACAAAGTGAATTTTAAAGAATGCATTTATTCTATTGTGGTTTATGCGCTGTAGGCGAAGTAGGTTTAATTCAATCTAATAAGTTATTAATAAAATGCAAGAAAAATGCGTATAATTTAATATTCCGTACAAGGAAGTCATGTGATATACACATCAGATTTTTTCTATTTTTAGAAGCCTTAATTATCTTATAATCGTACCATATGTTATACTTCGGTACATTTACGTTGAATAACTAATTTAAGTTAAATAACTAACTTCTTATTACAGTAAATTTTGCACACTTAAGAGTTAACTTTTGTTACTTATTATATTCTTCTTAATCGCCTCAATCAATCGTCAATTACTCAGCTTTAAAATATATTATTTAATTAAAAAATTTTAAGAGAGCTCAATTTTTTTTTCTTTTAAACATGATTAAAGAATTATTATCATATAAAATACTCACTATATAGAACATAATTATTTACAGCTTTTGGAAATTTACATGTGCCTTTTAAGAGTGCATCATGTGCATTAACTTATTGAATATGTTAGTTCGAATTTTAACAATACCTCCCTGTTTCAAGAGACAAAATATAGCTTTATTTGGCCCAATTATAACAGCTCGTGCTCTCATAAATGTCTACTTGCTCAGTGATGGTTTTTTTTTTTGTTATACAAATGAAAAATCTAGTAGTCATTAAGAATTTATCGATAATTACCTTTAATGCTTTAAATTTTCTGTTATTTCCTTGTCAAAAATTTGAAAATGAAATGTTCCCACAGCGTCTATTTTAAAATTAATCATCTGTTTGTAATTATTAACAATATGTAATTAATATTAATAGATATAATTACTTCCACATTAAATATAATTAATTTTAATACATATAATTACTTCACATAAATACATAATTAATATTAATATTAATAATAATTGCCCTCAGTAATACTTGCTAGTAATAGTAATACGTAAAAATTACTAATTTTTTTTTTCTTTTCTTCCAAACGCAGATTTTTAAAATCAGCTGAACTAAGTAATTTCAAAATCTAAAAAGTAACTAATTTTTCTGGATTTTATAAACGTTCTCAGTTAGAAACTTTCAAATAATAAAACAGTTAGCTTAAGTAACACAAAGTGATACTGAATAACTAGCATTTTCTTATTAAACTTTAGATCTAATCATTAATTTTTTCCTTTATTTATCTTCAATATGTAATTCCTTACTTCCTCGATCTGTCATGTGGCCTAATGGTACCTTCATTCAGGGCTTAATTTTTAAAATTAAAAGTACTGAAGGCCTATGGAAAGCCGTTCGGAAAGTTTAAAATATATGCGTATAAATGAAATAGGAAATAAATATAATACATAAAATTAAATAAATTGTAAAGTGCATATAAAAATTAATGAATTAATTTAAATTAAATAATAAATTGAAATATTGGGGTTCATCTTAATTAGGGTTGCGACAGGAGTAACAATCTCACTTAAATACTGAGTGAGTCTCGCATTTGGACTCCGACAGGTTCTGGCTGAAAGCCCGTATTCTGTCAGTAAATTTAAAGTCGTTATAATTCAATTGAAACTAAATCCATGTGCTTCCTGCTTGAAAAAAATTGGGATGTTATCAGGTCTTGAAAAGTTCTTAATCATCATAGCAACTCAAAAGATAATAATGTACGGTATTAAAAACGGCATAGATAGGATCATCTGTTAGTTCCCGTAGAAGATCGTGAGAGCGTTTGATCTTCATATTTTAATAATATCCTTAATAACTTGGCGTTTAAAGAGATTCATAACACATGCACGCTTCTTGTATTACTGTGTTAAACGTGCTTCGGTTTCCGCTTATTCTCAAGAGGTGGCTTTCATGTAATATTTTTTGCATGCTACGAGTATCTTTTCATAGTTTGACAATGTCTTTTATTTCTATACCTTCGATAGAAACCATTATACTGGAAAACCTCACCTAAAGCAATTAATCAATTTGTCAGTTTAAACGCATTCATGATTAAGAAAGGCTCATTAGAAGATACAGAATCCAATTGGAAAATAGCAGGAGCAATTTGGAATTATGATGAAGAAATATTCTTTTCTGGGACACGTTTGGAAATTTTGGGCTTTTCGGAACCAACCTCAGAACGGCAGGAGGATCAAACAAAGTTTTCTTGTAGAATATACTGTTGTGGAAATTAATTTACTTAACAATTAATGTTTAGTTAAAGCAACTTTACTTTCAATCTCGTTTTCGTCCACGCTTTCTTGCCAGGGTTTTAAAAAGCTAACGCGCATGTATTCAAATAAGGTAAAAAAAAGTGCTATTTAAGGAAAGAATCTGAAAGGTGATTTCAGTTAGTTAGAAAGAACGTGTTATGTCTGCTTGAAGGCCACGTTGTTGTTTTTAATTACTAGCAATTGACGTAGAGTGCTTCTGGCCTTTAAACTTGTTTCCGCCGACTTCTACTAGTCAGAGCCTTCCTGCTGGTTAAATTATCCTATGAGCCGTTAGGTTAAATTTGCTATATTTTATTTTAAATTCCTCGTTACCTGTTTTGAGTTAAGAAGAAAAATCTGTGAAATTATACTGCGTGATCAAAAGGGTCCTACTTTTCTATTGACTTTCTGTTGTAATTAAAGACCTGAGAATAATTCCTCGTACAGTCTTTTTAGAATCTGTTAGTTGATGTACCTAAGAATACGAGACTCTATATAGTTTCTAAGATTTCTTAAACCCGCAGAAGAGAGATGGTAAGCATAGACAGGTCGGAAAGGCGGGCGGCTTAATAATCCAAACTGACTGATGTAAGGAAACAAATAAGAAATGTTATATGTGGTAAGGCGATTTGAAACAGAAAGAAGGAAGCTTTGTATAGCCTAAGACAAAAGATCCATTCTCGAATCTGTGTAGCATTTACTACGTCAGTTTGAAGAAATAGACGTTTTTTGTAAATATATCTGTTGATTTTTTGAAGAAGGTGGCTTTAATTTCTATCTGCAATAATTAGTCGTTTATCGGAAAATATGCTTAGCAAATACTTCAGCATTTCCTTAAGTTTTCAGGCATTTTTATAGTGTTATAAGTGCGTCTTTAGAAGTAAAATAAATAATTGAAAAAGTATGTTTGCAGGGAGACCGAATTTCGACAGAAATGTCTGCCTGAAAAATCGATAGATATTGCTTTAAAACGCGTTTATAGAAGGGCAGAGCATGAGCAGAATTTTAATATTAAATATTAGGCATTAAAACAACTTCGAGGTGTAAATCCAAGTTATAAAATTCAACTTAGCGCCATTTAAAAGGGAGAGGAATAATCAAACAGAGCAAATAAATGAGCTGCTTTTTTAAGCAGGACAATAGTGTCCCTATCAATCTTAATAATACTTTTAATGACCAATTTTTAACACAGAAAAATTAAATATTTTGCTATTGCAATTATTTTTTATTTATCGTGCATTATATGGAATCTTTTCTTTCGGGGAGGATCTCTTTTTGTTAAACAGGAATGTCCTCGAAAACAAAATGTAGAATAGAAAATCTCTCGAAAGAAACAAAAAATGCGATTTATGCTAAACCTTTGTTATAAATATATGCTCGGGTTGACTTTTTATTGGAGGTTATGGTTTGGACTTAAATTCCTATAGTATTTGCTTGTACATACATTTCTTATTACTTTTAAAATTTATTTACACCTTTATTTAGCATAAATCTTATGCCATAGCATTTACGTACCATTGCGTATTATCATTGAAATGCAGTTTTGTTTTATGACTACGTATTACTTTTGGAATGCTTTTAGTTACATCCTTTACAAAATGTAACGGTAAAATTTGAGTAAATAAATCCTCACGGATACAATTTAAATGCGTATAATTTTGTTAGGTACTTTATGTGAGACTAATTTGCACAATATATTCTTTTTTTATCAACTCAGACTTACAGATAAATATTTATATGTTTTGCTGAATTTCGTTTGATATAAAAGAAAATGTAATTTAGATTTTCAGGCCAAATATCTGAATCCTTCGCAAACTGGAATATATTGGATGATACCATTCCATTAGAAATACAAATCTGATTTTAAATTTTAGCTCTTCCTGTATATTTTTACTAACAAAAATATAATTTAGGTACGGCCAAACATGTATCCTCAAACGTCAAAAGTCACGGAATAACATAATGCAGATTTTTATATGGTATTCACACCGTGTTAAATCTTGTATAAATACTAAAAGCCTTATCATTGTCACTTATAATTTCGTGAATATTGTGAAAAAGGCTCTAACTTATTTGGACCACTTGACGTGAATTTTCAGATTTTGTACAGGAAACGGTAGTTGGATGATGAATGGAACATTCAGTTTCTAAAATTGAGCGGATATCCAACATTCTTGGATCTACTGTTTGACATGAGTACCGAGGATACTTGATCAGTTATTTCCATTATTTCCCATCACAGACAGGTCAATAGCCAGTCTATAATCGTATTATATTTTTTTTTAAATTAACATCGCATTGAACAGAGATAGTATTTTCTGAGATGTCAGATAAACAAAATACCGAGATCAATCCTTTACATACTTGCTTTAAAAATATACTCTAAATTGTGCATTAGATTAAATATATACTGATATCAAACAACTGAAAATAAATTCGGATTTAAATGAAAAAAATCAAAACTAATGCTTTATAGGCATTAAAAATAAACAAATAATTTCTGAATACGACTATGAAAAAGGCTTAACGAGGAATTTGTGAAATTTTCCTATTATGTGGCCTTGGAAACTCGAAGTGATTGTGTGCGCTCTTTATAATATGCATACTCATTTAATTCACATTACATGTTTATAATACTTCTTTTGAGCTCATCAGAAAATTAATTTTCATCGAACTATTATAGTATATCGCATTATTCAAAAATAGTGTTGACAGTAAAACGTGGCTTTGGCAAAATAGTCGGTAATTGAAGGGAGATACATCAAAGCACTGCATCAAAAGCTTTTTAAATCAATTTCTTCTGTGATTCTATGGCATTCTATTTCAAAATGACAGTCCAAAGACAATACAATCACATAGATTGCATTTCTTCATGATTCCTTTCGCTCACAAATCGTAGAAGACTGGCGTAATTTTCCATGATGCACTTTTGAGAAACGAGAAAAGGGAAAATAAAAAAGACATCTTAGAGTACTGCCTCTCGTGTCTTGGAATCGATACTTTTCCCAAAATCTCTGAAAAAGAAAGAAAAATTCTCCCGAAAAATGGAGAAGTAGAACAAAGATTCCATTTTCTCCGGAACTTACACCTCGTTGGCTTTAATATGCGTTTTCCCGTCTATACGTGCCAACACTTCGGGAGAGGTAGCATTCCTAGAAAAGGCAAAAAACAAAAATTGGATTAAAGCCAACGAAGAAGAATGGTGTGAAAATTTATGACAAAAATTTAGTTTAGGAGTAGCATTCAAATATTTAAACATGCATAATACTAGGCATTACAATAATATAATATTTTCTTATGCAAAATGTTTATTAGTTTCCTACAACACGTTTAAATTTATCTAAATATAACCTATCGTTGTATGTTTAATTTTAAATTCTAGATAGCTATAGATTCCTTTTCTATCCCATTGGTTTGTAATAAAGAAATTTTGAAAATATATTACAAAGTGTGCAAAAATTAGTTTTGAGATTTATTAAGCCAGATAATATTTCAAGTTGTTCTACTCTTCATATCCTCGATTTTCTGAATCATATAATTCATCCCTGCAAAACTAAATTAAATAAATATATTGACATAAATACATATTTGAAATTATTCGTGTGTTGCCAGTTTAAGACCACTGATATGAAGGACTTACTGCACATTCTTAGAAGTGCTACTACATGTGTTAGCTCACCAGCGGCCGAGCGCTGGACACTGGTAGCTCGGTCCGAGGTTGAAATTACGCGAACGAGTTGCTGCGTGGTTTTCATGGTTTTCTCCATGTGTAACGTGTATACGAGCCAGGTTTTCTTAGAATGTCCTCCACGAAGGCATCCCTCCCCTTAGGCAGATAGTCATCGAGGCGTCGCCGTGATCACATAAGCAAACAAGCAAAAGCTAAACGTGTTTACGTGTTTTCTCGAGATTAATTACTGTAAAGATCATAAGTAGCGGAGTTACCTCCTTAAACCTTAACTAAGCACTTTATGAAAGCGTGAAATCCTATTGTGAAATTTGTGTGTGAGTTGAGAAGATAATATTTTTATTTTCTTCGTCATTATACTATTATTCAACTGAAATTTTTTGGTTACGCCAAACTGATTTGTATCGTATGTATTCATATTCCTTCTCAAAGCACAATGCTTTGTACAATTTCATATAATTTTAGATACTGGTATATTTATCCCCAGCAGTATATCTTTTCAAAATAGAAAAAAATATTGAGCAAAATACGGACTTTTCAAATTAAAAATTCTGCGCCTTTCAAAAAACGCATTCTTGTATTATTACTTGCAGTACCCAACTTCGGTTTAAAATGTTTTATGTGTTCGATCCCATTGTCACTATTTCTGGTTAAAATATCCGACTTAAACTGAGCCTCTCATATAACGGGAGGGTAGTTAGGAAGAACACCATTTGTGATAAAATCGCTAATGTAGCACATAATATTAAATAGCTTCCGTAACTATATTTAATTAAACAATACCTCATATTCTATTAAGAAGCAAATTATAATTTATGAATATGAATATACATGAGTTCTGTACAAGACGGCCTATAATTTTCTGTTGGCCTTTCATATATTCATAAATACAAATTCTAATAAAATATTATGACAGCTATTTTGTTTTACCTCATTGTCCTCAACAATACGAAAAGGCCGGGTAAACAATATTCACATAGTATTGTAATGCATTCATATTTCTGTAATTCTGTAGATGCCATTCATTGCAAATTCGTATTCGAAATCTATAATACTTAAAAATCAGATTTATTATCTCCTTCCTGTTAGTAAGTTAATTATTCGCGTAATAATAGTAAGTAATAGTAAGTAATTCGAGTAATAATAGTAAGTTAATTCAATACTGATGAAAACTAGAAATGCAGTTTTTCGGTATTTGACTACCCACAGCAACCGAAATGCGAAACCGTTCTTATCCTGAGATGCAGAGATATGATTAAAATCGGTTAATCTTCAGTAAAACATTCAAATTAAGTAGTGGCAGACCTACAGCTATTGAGGCCCGAGCGGAGATTTCCCTTAAAAAAAAAAAAAATAATAATAATAATTTACATCTAGCAGAAAAACATATGTTTTAAACAGCTTATTGATCTGCCACAGCTTATTGATCACAAATAGTTGCCATTGCCACATCTGCACTAAGAGGCCTCACTATGGCAGGAGCAAACAAGGCCGCCGTTCATGAGAAGAAAGAGACAGCAAGAGGAACGAAATGATTGGCACCAGCAGAAAAAATTCAAGCAAGAATCCAGACCGGAGGCCGCCAAGACCAGTCGTCCAGGGGCCAAACGGAAAAGACAGGAACCCGAAGACTACCACCCCAAGAGGCCGGCGTAGAGAGGGCGAAAAAGGAAAGTCACCATGGAGGAAACTCGAAGAAACCAAAAGAGGAAGTTAACTTCCATGAATTCTGTAACTTGGAATCAATTCTGCCAGAAGAGGATGTCGGAGTTCCAAGTCAATCGAAAAGTCAAAGATAAGTTAAAATCTTCTATAAATTTTTCTTTTGTTCTGAAATGTTATGTGTAAATACGAAGTTCTATGTGTTGACGGAAGTCAATTTGTCTCGGTTGAGACTTAGTTTTGTTTTACTGTATTTAGCTAAGGCAAAAGCATTATTTTCTTTAAGTGTAAAATCTAAGAGCAAGCAGTTCGTGTTGGTCGAAAGACTGGTTCTGTTATGTTAAAGCCAAAATTTGGCCGAAGGTAAAATAGCTTCGTATTCTTGTATTAATGGAAAATTTAGTTTCAGTGCCGCCAGCTTGGCGAAGAAAGCGTGAAGTAAAATTTTATTTTCTCTTATTCATCTTATGGTAAATTGTAAAAATCATATGTATTAGAATTTTGTAAATATAGGTAAATACTTGAAAGTTATGTAAAATTACAATTTAGTCTAGAAGCATAAAATTTTAGACGCTAAAAGTAAATGCTCAAAAGAAACGAGTTAAAAACCTAAGTGTTAAACAGTAGATAAAATCATACTTTAGAGCGAAAGCCTGCATGTCAAAAGATGAATGAGGGGGATATTTGGAATGAATGTGTTTTTTAGGGTTCTCCACCCACACTTGAATTTAAGAATGTTAAACATAGCTCATCGAGTTTCAGTATGTTGGATTAGGGTGTGTCATATTTGGTCGTTTGAAATCTAACAAATCATTGTGGTTAGGGGAAGTGTTGAAATACAAAAACACGAAGATTCCTGTTTGACACCACACATGGTGGAGAACCAGGGTAAAGTTAAATTCATGTTGAATATTTGAATGAATGTGAATGTAAGCAGCTAAATAAGGAAAAGAAAAGGATCGAAAACGAAAACATTATCAAGTGTTAAAAAAGTATAAATTATAATGTATTTGGAATATACTGATACGTATTTCTTCCAGATGCTGGAAGGAAGAGAAAAAGATTGATTGATGAAGACCAAACAGCAGAGAGGATCCTGTAAGAAGATATTGTATTCTAATCGTCTACAAAAACGATTGTAATTTTTTTTTTTTTTTTTTTTTTTTTTTAGACAAAAGTTTGTTTTATGTAAACGAAGCTCTTGAGTCTTAGGTTAGAATATGGAAACTTTTCAACAGGTCGTTTCTAGGACCTGCTTCCAAGTTTACCAAATTCTGGCAGCGGCAAATGTAGGGTTTATATTTATTTTAACTAACATTTATTTTAAATTAATCTCTCTTTCCTGTCAAGCCTTTATTTTCCCCTAGAATTGCCAATACTAGAGTATGTAAATTGTAGTAAAGCGCGCAGTATATTCAAATTTAGCAGAAGTAAGTTGAGTTTAAATAGAAGGAAAACGAGTTTGTATGTGTGCTTCTTGAATCGCGAACGTGAAGGTTGCTAGGTAGAAATTTAAGAACCGCGCGTTTCGGCCTGTGTGCCTATCTCGGCAGTTTGCTGAATCCTTCAACTGCTTAATTATTAAGCTCGCTGAATCTCAGCTGTATTTTTAGAACGCGGTTAGGTTAGTTAAGATTTCAGAGCCTCGTGGATAGTGATCTAGCTATTTATTCATCAGTCATTATTTTTCAGTTTTACATTCTGTTTCTGTTAAACCGCCGGGTCGGCGTAGTTTGTGAGCGTCAAGTGAACGCAGCTGTTATTTTTAAAGTGGAATAAAAAGGGCTTTAAACCCTTCTTACGTGTTTGTGTAAATTTACATTTCGTAGCAGTCAATACCACAGTTGCTGACAAGTTGGGGGCCACACAATACTACAACTTAAAAATGTTTTTATTTTTTCTATCAAAATAAAAAATAATAAAATTTTTTTGCGAGCTTTCACTTCTGAAAAAAATAAATTATAGCTTCATCAAAATTAATCTTTTTTAACTACTGCTAACTACTTTCAGTGGAAAGGATTGGCAAAATATTAACTCTTACTTTGCTCATTGATGATTGAAGATACCTTTAAATTAACTTTGAAAAGTTTAAGGAAGCATCTGAAATACACACTATTAAAAGAATCTGTAGAGTCAACATATTTGAATTTATCTAAATATAACTTGTAGATGTAAGCTTAATTTTAAATTCTAGATAGCTATAGACTCCCTTTCTATCCCATTTAATCTATAATAAAGAAAATTTTGGAATTTGCAAAGTTTGTAAAAATTTATTTTCAGATTTATTAAGCAAGAAAATACACTCATGTCCATAAATTAAGGATAATTCTGAGTAACGCGGAAATCGAACTCTAAAATAAATATATCACCTGTAAAATCACTACACACATCTTCAAGAATGATATGCAAATTTCAGGTAGTAACTAGATGACACTGATGGTACGTCACAATGACGAGAGTGTAAGAGAGTGATATATAAGGAATACAGGCAAAGAAGTAAAATTGTTTCGCAGGCACTTTATAAGCATTTCAGTGCAATAACCGAATAGTTATGACACAAAGGAAGCAAATGGATGATTTTTTACGTGGTAGAATTATCGGCCGTCTGGAATGTGGGGTGTACCCAACTGGAAGTATCAGACGAAACTTGGAATTGCCCAGAGTATCATCTCCAGGCTTTGGCAACGATTCCAAGATGATGGTAATGTGAGTAGACGTTACAGCACAGGTCGCTCCCAGAGTTACAACGCCGAATGAGGACCGGTATTTGGCAGTTACTGCCAAAAGAAAACAGGCGGAGCA